TCTATTTGCTCCTGAAGCTCCCATCGATTTTGACATTGAAACAGGACCATTGCTTGCCAAAGATGATTTTCAAGCTCTTGCACCTGGTTTACCAAAGGATATGCTTACTATTAACGTACCTCCTACATCGAGGCGCAATCCAAGACGGAAGACTCGTTATAGTCATGGTAATCGCAATGGGGAGAGAACTGATAATGGCCCAGTGGCATGTGCTATATACGCTAGAGAGAACAATCTACTGGGTTTACCTGGTTGGAAACGCTTTAGAAGTAAAGCAAAGAAGGAGAAGAAACTTCTTTGCCTTATTAACCAAGCCAAGCTCAGATCGTTCCGTGCAGCACCAAGATACATGTACGGATTCGAGATCCCGAAGGACTACAAAGATGCCCTTCGACTTGACAAACTCCACGGCAACACCAAATGGCAGGATGCCACTAAAGTCGAGATGGATCAGCTTGCCGAGTACAAGGTCTTCATTGATTTGGGGAGGGGAACCCCAATACCAAAAGGATACCAAAAGATTCGAGTCCACTTAGTCTATGCCTGCAAACATGATGGCAGACATAAAGCAAGACTCGTAGCCGACGGACACCTGACCGATGTACCACTGGATAGTGTCTACTCTGGTGTTGTTTCAATTCGAGGCTTGAAGATGATGATTTTTCTAGCTGAACTGAATGGACTGGAACTATGGGCTACCGATATTGGTAACGCCTACCTCGAAGCCTACACTAAGGAGAAGGTAGCAATTATAGCCGGACCAGAGTTTGGACCACTTCAAGGCCACACTCTTATTGTGTCAAGAGCTTTGTACGGATTACGTTTGAGCGGAAAAATGTGGCATCAGAGGTTTTCAGCATGTCTAGAGGAAGAAGGATTCTTTCCTTGCAAGGCAGAGCCAGATATTTGGATGAGGCCAACTACTGACGGGTCCTCTTACGAGTATGTGGGAGTGTATGTTGACGACCTAGCAATGGCAATGAAAGACCCACAAGCTTTTGTAGACAAACTGATCAAAGTCTACAAGTTCAAGCTGAAGGGCACAGGACCACTTGAGTTCCACCTTGGATGTGACTTCTACAGGGACAAGCATGGGGTACTTTGCATGCACCCAAAGAAGTACATTGACCGCATGGTAGATAGCTACCAACGCATGTTTGGTCAAAGGCCAAAGACCAACGTGTGGTCACCGTTGGAGAAGGGAGATCATCCAGAATGCGATACATCCGAGTTACTTGACTCTGAAGGAGTCACTCAGTATCAATCGTTGGTTGGTCAGTTCCAATGGGCAGTCTCTTTAGGAAGACTGGATGTCACTACCGCGGTAATGACTCTGTCGAGTTTTAGATCAGCACCCAGAATTGGTCATTTGAACCGTGCAAAGCGGGTTTGTGGCTATCTAGTAAAGTTCAAGGAAGCTTGTATCCGTTTCCGCACTGGACTACCCGATTACAGTGATGTCCCAGAACCTGTATTTGATTGGGCCAACTCTGTATATGGCTGTCCAACTGAAGAGATTCCAAGAGATGCACCACCCCCACTTGGGCTTGCAGTCATTCTCACTCACTATGTGGATGCAAATCTCTACCACTGTCTTTTGACAGGCCGGTCGGTTACGGGTATCATTCACATGATGAATGGGACTCCAATCGATTTCTTTTCAAAGAAGCAGTCAACCGTTGAGACTGCTACTTATGGTTCTGAGTTTGTGGCTGCCCGAACCTGTGTTGAACAGATTATGGACCTTCGGCAGACCCTGAGGTACCTTGGTGTGCCAGTCAAAGGTCGAAGCTACATGTTTGGCGATAACGAATCTGTCGTGAACAGTTCTTCCCGACCTGAGGCAAAACTACACAAGCGACATGTTGCATTATCATTCCACCGTGTGAGGGAAGCAGTAGCATCCAACATGTTATCATTTATCCACATTGACGGTGTTCTCAACCCCGCTGATATTCTCAGCAAGCATTGGGGCCATCAGCAAATCTGGCCATTATTACGGACTCTAATGTTCTGGTCTGGTGATACTGCTGATCAGGAGGAATAGGTCCTCTCACTTTGCCCCATTTGGGGAGTGACAGAATTCTAATAGGAACGGGACTCGTGACTCGACCTATAGGATTACCAGGTTGAAATGTAGCCTGTGCCTTGCACGCGTTGCACGTGCATGAACCGTTACACGCCAGTGATTTAGTAAAGAGAATGCTGAGTCATCAGCGTTCTGCGATAATTCTAGAGATCCGCGTGGAAAAGTGATCAACGATCGCTTTTCTCACTGCACGTTGTTTTACCTGAATTGATCTTTATCTTCTTGTGAAATAGCAGTCGCACTATAGGCTTTAAGTCTATTCATCTACTTTCATTTATTTCTGTCATGTAGAGGAGGTACAAAGTCTACTGTAGTAGACAATGTCCTGGGTGTCAGGTAAAGAATCGGCACACCAATGACTGTATAACCTTGGTAGAACTAGTACTACACATTGGATGGAGTGGCACGTTGGAGGGAAGTACGCTTCTGGCACAATTTCAGTTTCTGACGACACAAACGTGATAGTACCTGTACAGGAGAAGTGTTTTTGCAACCCATGTAAGACCTACCAACACCCACAGCGGAATCTCATGCAATGGTTCCAAGAGCCATTTGTTGTTTTATTGTCCTCACGTCTTGTTTTCAACTGTTTCACCAGGATCCTGCTTATCATCAAGTATGCTTTCAATTGAATATGAATGGAGACATTTTATAAGTGTCTTGCCTTTGCTGGTGAGTATTCTTGACTACTGCAACGCATAGTTGGTCTTGGCTCTTCTCATGTTTTGTTTTCAACGATTTCAACAGGATGCTTATCCTCATCGAGTATATTCTTCATCTGAACGGTAATATTTTTAAAGGTCTTGTCATTGCTGCTGGTAAGTAGTCTTGACTTCTACAACACATTGTTGGGTGTCAGATAATCAACTCCGTAGCTGTAATGAGAGCCTCAACGCTCTAGCCACCTCTGGAGTATACTGAGCTCGAATCTACGTCGGCTATGGATTGCCTACAATAGGAACAGGTGCCAGTGATGCT